CAGCTCTTAATATCAATATTAAGAGGTGGCTCATCGCGATTTTTTATTTTCCATTTAAATAACACGGGAAAAATACATTTTTTTGTTTGGAATTTTATTGCGTTTTAACGAATCAGTGAGTTGTAGAAATCAATACATATTCTTTTAGGGAATTAAACGATCTACAAAAAAGATCTCATATGATTTTTTGCATAGTCGACTCTTTTAAAAGTTATTTGAGGTTAAAGTTCAACTTCAAATAGTAAATGATGACTTTTATAGTTTTTCATACTCTATCACGAAATATTGTCTCAAAAACATGAAATATTATATTTTTCGTGAAGTTTATCGAGTGTTCTTCGGTAAAACAATACAATTTTTACGAAATATCAATAACCGTGAAAAAAAAGGTTTTTTTCCTATATTTAATTTTTTTTTTTATTCAAAATTTTTTCTTTACCTGAGACAAAAAAATTAATCATATATTATATCACGAGAACTATGAATTTAATCGGTTAAACTAGGCTCAGTAGTTTTTTGTTTGGTTTTTCTTGGAAAATGTTGAATGCAAAATAATTTAATAAAATCAGGAGACCGCGTAGCGGTCAAGGGGTTTTATTTTTAATTATTTTGAATGAAACTATTTTCCAAAAAGAAAAATCAAATAAAAAACTTACTGAGCATAGTTTTACAGATTAAATTTATAGGTTAAGTGATATACGTCTAGATTATTTCCATTAATTTAAGGTATGTAATAAGTAATAATTGATATTTCGTAAACTAGATAACTTATTTTTTATTGTTTTTTAAAAAATGTTTTTTAAAACTTGTAAATAACACCATAAAATCGTAAACAAAAATCCAATATGGAGGCTAAAATTTAATCGCTGTTAAATAGTTCTAGTGATTTAATCGCTTATTTAAACGAAATTTATTCGAAAATTCAAGGCTTTTGATTGGTTCATATTATAATGAGGGAAATAATCATTAAAAAATAATAAATATGCTATTTATAAAGTGTATACAGTTGACTTAGGTAATGTAGAGTAATAAAAGTAATGTTTCAATAATTTTTCAATTAAAATAAAAAATGTTAATTGATAAATTATTGAAACATGGCTTTTATTACCTAATAGTCAAGTGTAAATAGAATATTTATTATTTTTTGAAAAAATGATTAATTTTTTTTGTCATTACTTATGTAAAAAAAATCGATTTTTTTTTAAATCAAGTATAGAAAAAAAAACTTTTTTTCACGATTATTGATATTTCGTAAAAATTATATTGTTTTACCGATGGACACTCGATAAATTTCACGAAAAATATGATTTTTGATATTTTTGAGCCAATATTTCGTAATAGAGTATGAAAAACTATAAAAGTCTTCATTTACTTTAATACAATAAACTTACAAACAAAAAAATGTTTTTTCCCCGTGTTATTTAAATGGAAAATAAAAAATCGCGATATCGCGATCTTAATATTAATATTAAGAGCTCAAACTTTATCAGAATTTTTTTTTCGTCATCTTGGACGATATTTTCATGGTACCTAAAGAAAAGAAAATTAAAAGTTTTTTTTGGCCCACCCTAATATATATAAACTATATATACAACCTACAGTGTCTCCCACTTAAGACCCACTTACCACCCTTGTAAAATTTGCATTTTTTAACCAATTTTCGTAACCTGTTGTCGGATAAATCTCTGAAAAAGGCCTTAAAAGCATATGTCACTTATTATTATGTTGATATAAAAACAACTATGTTTTTGAAAGTTTCACGTGATTTATTTAATTTTTGACAATTGTTTCGTCACACAGTGACTTCTTCAGAATGTATTTAAACTTAAAATTAAGTTTATATAACACAATGTTCAAATAAATTCTGAAGAAGTCACTGTGTGATGAAACAATTGTCAAAAATTAAATAAATCACGTGAAACTTTTAAAAAACATAGTTTTTTTTATATCTATATATGGTTAGCTTATTGGAAAATATATAAATGTATTAAATAAATAAATAAATATAATAATAATAATATGGAGTTTCATCAAGTAAGGGTTACTTTCTAAATATAAGCACTACACATCTGTGACAGCATACTTTGCTTTGGGTAATAGAATTTATAGTACTTATAGAGGTGTTTAAATCATAATTAATTCAGTCGGATTTTAATTAAACATTAAACATTTGGTACTTCTTATTAAAATATCCATTTATTGTGTTTATTCAAGTAACTTTTTGTTTTCATAAAAATGCCCAACTGGGACACCCTGTATTTAAGAGCGATAGAATAGAAGGGTTGAAAATGGTCCCAAATAAGTATCCGTATCCGTTTTGCTTTGAAAAAATCCCTAATAGTACTTTCAAAATATCCACCCCAAAAAGATACCGCAGTTGACCATGAGTTTACTCGTTAAAACAAGTGACAAATGCGTTTAAAGCCTTATTTAGAGATCTATCCAACAAAAAAGTTAACAAAAATCGGTTGAAAAATGTAAATTTTATAAGGGTGGTAATGTAGAATGTTTTCAACATTTTCTCATATCGACTAAAATCGTGCCCGAACCTCCTTAAAGAATACAGCAAACTGTTAAAAATTTAAATTGACAAATAAATTTATTTAAAGGAAAGGTGTCATCTCAATTACTCAGAAAGTGTAAATAATGTTCGGCCTATTTCAAGTACACTGAAAAAGGTTTTCATGTAAAATTCCGGTAATTGGAATTGGTTATTTTGATGCCTTGTTGGTATCCGAAATATTACATTTAAATGTTATTTTACAAGCAACATGTACAACTACATTTAATATGTAATATACTTCCATTTTGCATGTAAATTAACACTTTATATGTAATCTATGTCCATTTGAAATGTTTTTTTTACTTTTTAAATGAAATTAATTTTCAATCGCAATGTAATTCACATACATTACATTTGTATAAATTCATTTTGAATGTAGTTTTTATACTTTTGGAATGTAATAAATCTTTCCAGTTTAAATGTATTAATACATATTATTTATATTTTTACAGTTTTATTGTATATCTTGTACAAGTTAATAATTTGAAATTATACAGGGTCTTTTAAGACGAAGGTGAGAAACGAAAACAGTCCGATTTTTTTTGTTAACGAGACATTAAATTTAAAAGGTTTAAAAAAAAGATTAGATTGTCACAATTTTTCTGCATTTAACAAAAATTTAATTAGGTATACTTTCATCGTATAAAGAAATGATAAAAAGAAATTTTTATTTCTTAATCGAAATATTAAATTTATATTGACTTGATATTTGCTTTTAACATTTTTATTAAATGCAGATAAATGTTATGCTAATCCAATTTTTGAGTACAAAATTTGTTTAAATATAACAAAAAAATCGGATGTGGGTTATACATATTTTTGTACTCAGAACACAATTTTTGTTTCACACCTTCCTCCTGAAACAGAGTACATGTAAAGAAATAATATTTTAACTTTTAATTTAAGATTTTAAAAATTTTTTATTTTCCATTTTTTAAATATAATTATTTTATTTGATAATCTTTAATGTTTAAACACCTTGTAAAGATTTATTATTTTTAATAGATACTAAAAAATAAATTACCAGGTTTATAATAAAGTAAAAGTAAGTAAATTTAGGTAACATTTATTTACAAAAATACAAAAACTTAACATCAAACTCTTAAAATTAAAAATGAACATGTTTAAAGGACATAAATAAATAATACACACATACAAAATAAAAAATAATATAAAAAACAACAATAGGTACATGATAAATAACATGTATTATTTATTTACATATATGTATACATGCTTATCATGTACCTACCCTATATACATATACATATACATAAAACACGTTTTTACAATGTTCCATACATTATAAAAATAAAATAATAAAAAAGTAGCACCTACATGTATACAAAAATAAAATTAACATCAAAAATAATTAAAATTCACATTATTTTAAAAAAATTAAAATAAACATAAACATAATTTTTTTAAAATAAAATTATAAAAAAAATTGTAAAAACAAAATTTCTTCCATTTTTGCACCTACAAAAAACAAAATAATTAAAAAATAGGTACATCATTTTTAAAAACAAACTTACAATCATTCATGAGGTGATTGATACTCAAATTTGTTTAATTTATTGGTTAAAGTTAAACATTTTTTCACCGTTCTCGAATTGGATTTACATCCACTATCGGGATGAATTTTTAGTAAAAATCTTTGAATGAACTCCATGGTGGCTTGGACCTTGTTTGGGAAACGTAAATTCAGTATGAAATATAGTCCCATCATTACTTGAATTGCGTCTAACAAGCTTTCACATTTAATAAACTCGCATTTTTGGTAGTAAACCCATGGGATTGATCCTAAAATTTTAAAATTATTTATTACATTTATAGTAAAAATACATGTGTGGGAGAAAGTCGGCATTTCTAGATATTTTCACAACATAAAATTTGCAGTGAAAAAATTAAATGCAAACAAGGAAACTTACTACAAAATGAGGCTTTTAAAAGACGTTAATTAAGACAGTTTTAAGTTTCTACTATAAAAAACGCTTAACTTGCTACTGTAAAAAACTTTACTATTGAGTTGTCTTGTTTGCAGATTAAGCCGTCAAAATGTCATAATAATCCCAAAAAAGTATCACCGAAGCACTTTTTTTAAGAATAAATTAGTATTTTTAAGATGGAATATGCATTATCTTTCTAACTGCTGTTCGCAAAATACGGATTTTACCATTTAAATTGCCTCTATAAATAGAAGTTATCCCACAAACTCAAATAATTAATTAATTTTTTGCCCATATAGTTATGTATGTACCTTTAATATTTTGACGCCAACATTGGTATAGGGATTTAACATTGGTTGATTAGAATTCGCACAAAAATATTACAGAAACTTGATGGGAAAATGTCTCAAGGATAATTTTATAATCTGTATAATATAAGGATACAGATTTTAAAATCATCATATTATGTAGATTAAAATACAACTTACCTTTTTCTACCACACAGCATTCATTTATTAAAATTTGTTGATTTATCTCTGTATCAGTGATGTTCTCCTAAAAATAACAAAATTGTAAATAGTATAAATTTTAAAGAGAAAATAAAAAATGACACTTACTTTAAATCTATACAAAATGTTGTCTATACATTCTTTAAAATACTTTGCCACTACTGTTAGGGCTAAATATTCAGTTTGTTCCTGTTTAGTTTCTTCTATTAATTTTGTTGCTATGCCAAATGACACTAATTTTGATCCTTTTAATTTTATATGTTTACTTAAATCATCTTAGTTGGTCCCAGTCAATTTTTTAAAATGTAGAAAAATAAATTTTGAACTTTGTGTAAATATTGGCCACTTAGATTTTATAACTGCTACCGTAGGTTGATTTTCATTATTTAAAAAAGTTCGTTGTAAAGTATAATTTTTAACTAAATATTTCATTAAAATATCATCATCACAGTCCTTTAAGTCTACAAAATCACTCTCATCGCTATAATTTTCTTTTTCGGAATCCATTTCTCCTTCCCAATTGGAACAACCTGCTCTAGCAGCCAGTAATTTCCGTCCCTTTAATTTTGGTACATTGATGTCAATTTGTTTTTTATGCGGGCGATTTAGGTAGTTATTTCGATCAATAAATTTGGTCACCAATGATCCAATTCCATTACCAAAAATATTTCCATCTTCATCAACATCTTGGAATGAATTAGGATATTTATCGACGATTTGTTTTGCTATTTCTTTAAAAACCTTGATGGGGATGGTTGTTTTTATTTCCCTTAATTCGTCAACAATCATATTTACTACCCTGGAAGTAATAGATGATTTACGGGTGGAATTTTCAAGCTTCTCTAAGACTGTTTTTGGAAGTCTTTGCCATGGAATTAGGAATTTATCCCACAAAATGTTATAATTTTGAGTATCCAAACTTTCTTCAGTCGACTTCTCTGAACTAAATGTAATGGTGGAATTGTCTGTATCGCTATTGTTTGGAACAGTTATTATTTGCATTTGTTCCAATTCGGGCATCCAATTTTCATTTTTTGTTAAAAGAATAAATATTTCATTAGAAAAATACTCAATTTCCTCTTTTTCTTGTAAAACTGTGCCATCCTTTTCTAAGCATATGACATTTCCATCGATGTTTAATTTTTTAGATGCTAAAAACGTCAGGCAATTGTTAAACGATTTAAAAGATAAGATATGGTGCAAAAAGGATATATATATATATATATATATTCATTATTTAATTTGTAACATATACACTGAAAGAAATATATGTTTGTTTTAGCAAATGTATGTGGTTCATATATGGACTACCACATACATTGCTAAAACAAACATATATTATATTTAGTTTTAACATAATATGTTAAAACTAAATATAAAAATGGTTAAGGTAAATATATTTTATGTTTCATATATAGACTACCACATACATTGCTAAAACAAACATATATTTCTTTCAGTGTAGGTTAAATTAAATAATGTGAGAAAATCACATTCAAAGTCTTCTTTACGAAATTGTACTTGAAACAATTTACTCAAATATAACTGTACATGTCTAAAAGTGCACTTCGCCAATATTTTACTGGGATAAAAATATACTGCAGCTACTGGTTTATGTATTTATCTCGTAAACAACTGCAAATTCTTCATTTGCTTTCATAAATGCTAAATCTTTAACATACAAAAAAACTATATTTTTTTATTTAAATTGGGTATTATTATTTATCCAAATCATCCAAAAGTTTAGGTATATATACCTAAACGTTTTGATGGTATACCAATGAACAAGTTTTTATTTATAATCTTACTGGATAAATAAATCCTTAACAATAAAAAGCTAAAAAACTTACCTTCAAGTATGATTGTTTCATACAGATTTTCTATTTCCTTCTTTAAAATCAGGCAAATCTTTTTGGATCTGTCTTGATTCCATATTTTATAGGCCATTCTTTCCATTTTAGTTCAATTTTTCTAAATCAAATAACAAGTACGCACATATGTGTATAATATGTAAGTATTATGTATAAAAAAATATTTTATAAGAAAATATTTTAAAATTTAAAATGTAATTACTAGAAGTATAAATATAAATAAATATAAAACAGTAATTTTTTAAAATTTATTACAAATAAATAATAAAAATTAAACTTAAAAACATATGGTGTGTGTGCTCTATAGAGAATTGCCAATTAGTTAATAGAATTATTTTTTTGGTAGTGTAATTGACAACTACTCTACAAAGTTTAATTTTAATAAAAAAGTTTATTACAATTTATTACAATTACAATAAAGTTACATGTATTTAAAAACCCTTTGTGAGCGGGCAAAAAATCTTTAAATATTTGACGTAAAATATCAATTTTAACCGCCACTGAGTGGCGGCTGGTGGATTTTGGGCACACCCATATCTTAGTTATTAGACATGGGACCCACATCAAATTTATATGAGTTTATAATGACATTATATAGACAAGGTCTGGGCAAGCAGACTTTAAATTGAAGTTTGCGAAAAAAAGTTAGTTTTTAAGTGTGCCCCCAGCCTCCTGCCCCTTCAAATTAAGATAATTCAAATTAAAGTGGTACAATATTTAATGCACTGAAATTTATCGACAAATTTAAAATTTTATTTAAAATATTCAAGAATTACAGGTTTTATACCATTTTAAATTTTTATTATTTCTGTTTCTGTAATACTTGAATTTTTTAAATAAAACTTGAAATTTGTCGATAAACTTCAGTGAATTAAATATTGTACCACTTTAATTTGAATTATCTTAATTTGAGGGGACAGGAGGCTGGGAGGCACACTTAAAAAGTAACTTTTTTTCGCAAACTTTAATTTAAATTCTGCTTGTGCAGAGCTGCCTGCCCTCTTTTGCTGCTAGAAGAAGATGGACACAAAAACATGCAAATTGGGGAATAGCAGAATGGAATAGGTCCATGCTTACTGATAAATGTAGAACTTGCATGGCAATGATGGACGAATTTTGGTATGGAGGGAACGGAACTATTTGATTTGCGTTTTTATTTTGAATTAATGTCATTATAAACTCATATAAATTTGATGTGGGTCCCATGTCTAATAACTGAGATATGGGTGTGCCAAAATCCACCAGCCGCCACTGATTTTAACCTATTCCTTTTTACCCGCTCACCAAAGAATTTTTACATTTAAGTAATTAATATACTAATTACTTAAATGAATTATCGTAAGGTGCCGATTTAAAATAATACTTATTTTCTAAATTCTCTATTAATGGTTCATAACATAAAAGTTGACTTAATTCCACAAAAACACATTTACCAATATTGGCTAAAAAATATAACCCAGTATCAGAATTTTTTATAATTTCAATTTCTGTTCCGAAAAAATATGGTTCTTTAAAATTGTCTTTTAAAATAATATATTTTATTTTACATAAAAGAAAATTACCGTTTTGATTTTTATTATAACAAATAACTGAACCTGTTTTATATTCTATGCCACGATATACAGCTTTAGCGGAAATATAAGTCTGTGAGACATTAAAATCTTTGTTTGTTAATATTTCAGGAGCAAAATCATTATTAAATAAATGGATTTCGTCAAATAAAACATTTTCGTTGTATAAAGTGTCACTGTTGAAATTTAAGGATTGTAAAAGTTGATGCTTATTTGTTAATGTAAATAAAATATTTTTAAAATTTGTTGTGTGTTTAACAGCTTTTTTAAAATATTGATGTTTGCTTTCATATCGTAAAGTCCATAAGTGGCGAACAGGTCCAAAAACCTTAATAAAATACGGATAGTGACTCAAAAAATGGTGTTTGGGTTTCAGAGATTCGGAAAATAAACATTGTCGATCTTCCAGGTATTCAAATATTAGTGAACGTAAAATACCAAGTTGTTCTATGGATAACTCAAAAGCTAATAATATTTTACAAATACTTCTTAATTTTAAAATCATGTGCCAAATTTTGTTTTCCCTTAAGGTATCATTATAATTTTCTACGGCAAAAGGAAGTAACATTAATAAGTTCATATTTTGTGATGCAGTTCCCAGCAATCGTTTACTTTTTTCATTTAAAATTGGGAAATAATATTTTTTTTCATTGATAAACACAAGATTTTTAAGCAAAGAATTTAAAGTTAAAAATGAAAATATGTTTTGTTGAACTAATTTTTTTATACATAATATTAAGTCATATGAAACTACCCCTTCATACAAATCATGTGCTAAACATGGGGGAAGACCAGGGTTACAAACGTGATAAAATTTTAATGTGTTTAAAATGGAATTTTTCTTTACCCCCCTATAATTTTTTCGTGGATTGATATTGTTTATTTCAAAATTTGTTTGTAAGTCTTGATTATAGGAATCAACTGTTCTAAATAAGGTTTTTCTATTGTAAGAAGTTGAATTGGGATCATTTTTTGAAATGTAACAAGTCCTGCAAAAATTGTTTACTAAAGAAAAGCTTTCGGCAAAGCCACCCAAAGAATGACTTCCTAGGTTATCTCCTAAAGAGTATAAAATTGTACCTTTAACTATTATATTTTTTCTTACTTCAATACCCTCTGTTTCTAAAACAGAAATATCTTTTATAACCCTTTTTAGTACAACATTAAAACCAAATTTTTGAACATCTTTCTCATAAATCAAAGCCAAAAGGTGAATATGGTCTACTTGTGTCCTATACCATGGAGGGATGTTTCCTAATACAAAATAAACACCAATTATTTTATGTTTTAATCTAGACGATCCCAATGGGTTACATACCTCAAAAGCATCTTGATATATAATTATTTTTAATGCAGTTGGGTTTTCATTAAAGAAAGCATTATTTTTACATGTGCTACCATCAGTAATATCACAAAAATCTCTATTATTTTGTTTTGGGTAAAAAACCATATTAAATATAGAATCGTTCTTAAATAATGTTTTTATTGTTTCAAATATTGAAATGTAAAAGAATTTTGAATTATTGCCTAAATAAACTAACTCTGGTTTTATAAAATTTAAATTATTTTTTAATGTATATTTTCTTGAACAAACTGTGCGTAAAGGCCCACGTTTAGAATTATAAAATTCATTAAAAAGATTTTGTGAAACATAATCCCTATTAATATTTAAATTTTTTATTTTTGCATTATTTAATTGAAATTCAGTATTAAGATTATTTAAATCACGAAAAGTATCAATTACAAATTGTTGTGCTTTGTCAGTGACAAAATACTTACTTTCTAAGGCCAAATGAAAATTATACAAAATGTTTAAACTTAGTTTTTTTAAATCTGAAATAGAATCCTTGGGTTCTGAAACACTTACAATTAGGGATTGCAATCCGGAAAACCGGATCCGATAATCCGGCGGATCCGGCATCATTAAACGTCGACCGGATCCGGTATGAGTTTGCCGGATCCGATCCGACGACATTAGTTTCAAACTGACAGTTGGGTTTTAAACTGACAGTTTGTCATTTGTGACTCGCTTGAGTGAAAAAATATGTGTTTTTATCGTTGCTTCGTCAATTAAATGTAAGTAGACATTGTTATTATTTAATTGAACTATTTTTTTGTTGCATTTACGAGTACGAATTGAGTAACGAATCATTACTAACGATGCATATTTCTGATTTTATTTATAATATAACTTTCTTATTACATTGATGAATACCTACATACATTTGTCCCACACTCATTTAGAAATGAGACATTATACACTCAAAAACAATTAACAAAGTAAGCCATTGTTACACTAGTTAAACAATGAAAATATTGCACCACTAGTGAAACAATAAAAAAGAAAAAGACAATAATTGTTAATATTATTGACAAATATTATAAACAATAATACAGCTATTTTTTATACTAACTTAATACACACATAAATATGATTTTAAACATTGTTCACATATTTGGAATTATATTTTAAATGCAAATAGATAATCCCAAAAAGCATATAAAACAATGTTAGAAAACTTAAAGTTTAATAAATAAATACCTAATTGCATTTTTTTGGATATTAAATCATAGTTTTAGTAAGTTGGGTGCATAACGTCTCTTTGGAATTAAATTTTAAAGGCAAATAATCCCAAAAAACAATGTAAAAAAACTTAACCTTAAAAACCAAAACACTTTTGACAGATAAATATGTTTACAAAACTGGTAATTTTTATTTAATTTTTTATTTGATTGTGGGACAAAATAATATGTACAACTCGTCAAGAATAGTCGTTTATAAACTCGCATTTTTTCCCTGTTCGCTACGCTCGCGTGCCAAAGGAATGCTCATTTATAATCGACTATTTTCTTTCATGTTGCACAATATACTATATATAATATAGTATACTATATACAATATAGTATACTATATATAATAGTATATTGTGCAACATGAAATTGTTAGTAGGGATAGAACGATATCACTTTTTTTTGCCGATACTATATGTCGGCCGATACCGATATTTACGTGCCGATATACCGATATATCGTATCGGCAAACATAATGCCATCTATTTATACACGACCGAAGCAAAAATCGGGGAAATCCCGTTTTAATTCCGTTGCGAGGAAACGTTTGTGATTGGTAGTGAGTGACATTTCGGATTTCTGGGAAGCCCCTTATACAGTGTGTATTAAAACGAATAGATACACTTAAATAAAACAAGTGCCAAACCCTGCCCACTGTGGTAGGGATTGAGAATTTATAGGTTTTATTTTTATCGAATTCGTTTGTTTTGTTTTAATGCATTTCTGCAAATAAAAACTAAGTATTGTTTAAAATCCATTAAATTCCAGTTAATGGCGAAAATGTATTTCTTAAAAACTATACACATTTCCCTACGACAGTATTTCATTTATGCACTGAAGAGTGAAAAGCGCAATTTTTTTTTGCCGATATATCGGCAATTATCTTGCCGATACGATGCGATACCGATAATCGGAAACAATTGCCGATATGCCGATATCAATATCGGTATCGTTCTATCCCTAATTGTTAGAATTTGTTTTGCCTTTGTTTAATTCTAATAAAGATTTATTGTTATTTACAAAATCTGTACCTATTTGTAAAACTGCGCTGCTTTGTAAGAATTGGCCATTAATTTTAAGTATCTCTATTACATTGCAGGTACATACTAGTCTAAAACATGTCACATGCGAAATCGATACAAAATGAGGAGAGCAGTGGTGGGGATGAGAACAAAAATGTATGGAATTATTTTACAAAATTGGACAAAGAGGACAAAAGCGCGAAATGTTCATTATGCTCAAATAAGTTAAAAATAAGTAAAGGTTCTTATAAAGGCTTAAAAATACACTTAAAAACAAAACACTGCATCGATATAAGTTCTGAAAATAACAAAATAAAACGTCCTAATTCTGATTTATTTCCCAAAGCATCCACGTCAAAAACTAACTTAGTTAATATTATTTGTGAGGAGGAAATACCCAAAAAAAAATCTAAAACAATTGAGGAAAATTCCATGCAGAAGATGGTTTCAAGAATGGTCTGTAAAGATGGTATGGCCCTTAGTTTATTTTGCACATCGTCAGATTTAAGATATTTGTTTTCAAAAAGCGGATTTCAACTTCCTAATTCACCAAACACAATAAGATCCATAGTTACAAATTTTGCAAATACCGTTAAAGCTGACTTGATTAGTGAGTTCGAATATCTTAAGAAGCACGGAAGAAGATTTGCTTTAAGTTTTGACGAATGGACTTCCCAAAAAAATCATCGATACTTGAATCTGAACGTCCACCACCAAGAAAAACACTTTAATCTGGGCTTAATTAGAATACATGGCTCAGGTACCGCGGAGCATACAATCAGTTTGATAAAAAATCGCCTGGAAAGCTTCGGTCTTAATTCTGATACTGATATTATTGGCATGACTACTGACGGTGCAAGCGTCATGGTCAAAGTAGGTAAACTTATGAGTTGCTATCAGCAACTGTGTTTTGCACACGGTTTACAATTAGCCGTAGTCGACATATTATATAAAAGGAATAAAGAAAAGGAAGTAGAACACCAGGAAATAGCTTCTAATGAATCAGATACAGACGACAAAGACACGAATGATAATGATACCTATGAAGAACAAGGAGTAACAATAACTATGGATCCTTGCCATCATCATGAAGTAATTCCTAGATACTATGATCTTTTTCAAAAAGTACGAAAAGTGGTGAAGTTATTTAAAAGATCCCCTACTAAATACGACATGTACCTGCAAAAGTATGTAAAAGAAGAAACTGGCAAAGAATTAAGCCTTATTTTAGACTGCCGCACCCGTTGGAACAGTCTTCTGGCAATGATAGAAAGATTTTATAAGCTGAAAGTATGTATTGATAAAGCTTTAATTGATATAGGATCTGAAACAAAATTTACCGATCTAGAATGGTCTTCAATAAAAGACCTGGTTGACAGTTTGCAGCCATTTAAGTTGGCGGTAGAGGTACTATGCAGAAGAGATTCAACCCTCTTAATTGCTGAGACAACACAGAAGTTTATTTTAGAAAAGTTGCGTACTCAAGATACATTCTTAAGTGCTGAATTATCTAAAGCACTGCGTGAGAGGATAAAAGAACGCCGCACTATAGTAACAGGAATATTAATATATTTACACAATCCGAAAAAATATGATGATGATATGAGACTAGCTGATGATACATTTACCATGCCGAAAAAAAAAGTTATGCGACTAGAAATGAAAAAAATCTTAGAAAGAATTATTCAACATACTGACAATGTTAACGAAAACGTAGATATTATACCAGAATACAGCTTAAATTCATCGCCAGTAAAAAATGATCTGACATTACAAGAAGAATTACAAATGCAAATCCAGCAAGAAGCAAAAACGTATAGCATAAATGCCGAAAAAGAGAAAGATTTTGAAAAAATATTAAAGAAGGAAATGATTGCATATGAAAGTGAAGGAGATCGGGGAAAATACTTGCCGTTTATTTATGAGTATTTATTGACAATAAAACCTACAAGTGTAGAAGCTGAAAGGGCCTTCTCGGCTGCTGGCTATATTTGTAGCTCTATAAGAAGTCGATTAGCAGATGATACAATTAATACAATTTGTTTCCTACGATCATTTTTCCAAAACCAAATTTGAATTTTTATAATAAAGTTATAATTTAAAATATGTATAGTTTTAAACTCCTTATTGTGATTATAGTGCCAACGTTTAAACACTATACTAGATTGGTATTGTTAATTTGTGATTGTTTATTGTTACAGTTTAAATAAAGTTGATTTTAAAAGAAATAAACTTTTTTTCTACTCCTATTACGGAATATGACCGTTCTAATATCACTTTTTAAGGTGGAATTACATATATTCCTTAAAGTTTTACAGAATGAATGAATTATTCTATCACCGTATGACAGAATAAACACTGGTGGCGACATCTCTGTGTTTATTATCAATTTTTAGACCGATCTAACCTCTCTTTCTCCCAATTAAATTATTTTTCCATTGTATTTTTAAGAAACGTACATAGAAAACCCCGAAGGTAGAAAAAGTTTGGAATTGCATTTTCCACTCTCGTAAAACCGCCAAACTCGCCTTTGGCTCGTGTGACAAGCTTTTCACTCGAGCGGAATATGCCATATTCCAAACTTGTTACAGAATATACTATTTTATAAACTTTGTAATATAGGTACACTCAATTAATAAAAGATATACTATAGTATATCTTTTATATTACAAAGTTTCTTATAAGATAAGCAAATTTCAGAATGAAAGGACAAAATATGTTTGATGTGACCTATTCGGCCGGATCCGACCGGATCCGGCCGGATCGACAGGAATCCGGCCGGATCCGACCGGATTGAAATTGTTGCCGGATTGCAATCCCTACTTACAATATTTTTATTATTTACAACACTAACTTCTGTATTTTGACTAAATATTAGGGTGTCTTCAATATTCTTAAAACTGTTATAATTTAATTTATTAAAATGGTTTCTCAAAATATGATTTCTTAAATTAGGTGAATTTTGAAACAATTTTAATGAGTTGCAACAAAATGGACATGTCATATTTTGGCCGGAATTAATGTGCATACATACATGAGATGAAATTTTTTTTTTTAAATTACTTTTGAAAATGCAACTTGAAATTGGACAGAAATACGTATACTTATTTCTGTCCAATTTCAAGTCTATATAACTATTTCTATTTTCTTTAAAATTATGCTTTCTATAAATGTGACTTTTAAATACATTATATTTAAAAAATGATTGCTTGCAATCTTTGTAAATGCACAAAAAGACACAGTTTTTGTTGTTTCTGTGAAAAAAATAATGTTTATTGTATTTTTCAATTGTTTTAAAGTTAATTTCACAAAAACCGCACTTAAACATTATAATAATTAGCTAATATTTCACACCTACCTTTTTTGTTGATAAACAGAATTTAACTTTGTGACTTGCACGTGTCTCACTTCGCAATAAAAGAAACAAAATGGTATGCAGGCTTGTGCATCAATACCGGTCCGCATCATGCGATAAATTTCAGCCAATCGCGTTATTTTCAATTACATGTTAGATGTAAATATACAATAAACATGGACTTTTCCATAAATATATGTTTATTTACAATTTAAATGGTAGAATATTACATGTAACTTGAAATAAATCAGTTTTGTGACCGAATTATTTCATTAAATTTGTAGTTTTTACAATTCGTATTTCATTTTACATGTTAAACAAAATTATACTATATTTATAGTGGTAATAATAAATTATAATGTAATTTTCAACTAAAACGAGTATAAAATATTATATTGAAATGTAAAAATTTCTTTCAGTGTAGTGATGATTTTTTCGTAAATCTGTAAAAGAATGGCTTATATGTGGTATGTTCAAATATTACTATTATTTACTTAATTAATTAGTATATCTTAACGAGATGATAGTGTGGGACTTCAAGGGCGGAAAACACTTTTTAACATGTTGAAAACACTATTTTTTTTTCGATGACCACAACCACATTAATACAACAAACCTCTTAATTGAAAAGAGATGCAGTTTTCTACTTAGCAACACATTTATTAAGCTAATCTTAAAAATTGTAAAAAAAGGAATTAGTTTTATTGTTAGAACGTATATCTGACAGATGTTAAATTTTATGGTATTAGGGTTTCTTTTAACTTGAGACAGCTCAATATCTCGAGAAATACGCATTTCACGGAAAAATGTCTTAAATAAAAGGTTAATGTAATCAAAGGGTGAAACGGGGGGTAACTTTGGAAAGTCAAATAGGATGGTTTGATTTTTTTCATAGATTTTGGTAGTACATAAGAAAATGAATAACTTTTATTTGAAACTTTTTTTCAATTTTTCAACAGATGGCGCTGTAATTCAAAATTTAAGAAAAATGGGTTTCCTTGTAAAATGTATTATTTGAAACGTTTGAAAAACAAAAATTAACATTAAATCAACAATAGTCGGCTCTGAAAACAATTTATAACAAATGTTTGAAATGTCGTCCTTCCATTTCGACACATTTTTGAATGCGGGTAATGAATTCTAATAATAATAATTATATCAGTATGACCATATATTATATGGACATACTGTTGGATGCGTTCAGAAATTAAAAATTGTGTCAGAAGTGGAAGTGGAAGTGTTTTCCTTGTCTCAATAAATAATAGTCGCAGTTTAATTAAAAAAGTATCTTTGTATCTTAACACACCTAGTTACTTAGAATATGTAACTAGTTACAGATATAATTACTAGATTTGGATAAGTAACTAGTTACACAAACAGATATATAAAAAGTATCCTAAGGATGTCCCCTGAAAGTCCCATGGGTATATTTGGGTCCAGGAATGGGATGTCCTGAGGAAATTCTCTGAATGGTATTTATTGGGGATAAATTTTAAACATTTAAATACCATTTTAATACAATATAATATTTTAATTATGTATACATATGAATACATATATATCTATATATATATATATATATATAAATATATATATATATATATATATATATATATATATATATATATATATGTATATACAGGGTGTATCACGGTCGATGGTAGGTTAGACGTTTATAGAGAACGGCAAAAGATTTCGAATTGAAATTTTTATAGCAATTATAATATCATTTAAACTATTTTTCTAAATTATTTTGAAAAAAATACCTCTTCCGGTTTTAACGGAAGCGACATCAAATTTGTTATTTTAAATGGATCATCACAATTTTTTTTACATTTCTAAATTCCTACCATCATTCCTTGTAAAATGGCTATACCATGTCCTATACCTAAACTTAATAGTTTTTGAGTTATTAATTTTTTTTGTAAAATTCGGTCAGTTTCACCCTCACCAAAAAGAGCTTATAACTTTTTTATTATTAGGTTTGCTGATATTCGGTTGGATTTATTGGAATCCTGAAGAATTCTTTTAAAGATTCCATGTAATTTATTTTAATATTTTTAAAAAGATACTTGATAAAAAACAATGTGAATGGAGCTAACTTAAAACAAAAAGTTATTGATTTTTAAAGTTAAGAATATCAAAGATATTTTACAATTCCTACTATTTATTATGTATTTTAAATTTTTAAATATTAGTTTTAAATTAATAAACAATACAATCTACGAATGAGTTTCAAAAATCATATGACAAAAATAATATTAATAAGAACAATATTTATTTCGGTCTTTGTAAATAAAAGCACTCTCTAAAAATGAATTTCACTTGTACCATGGTTAACCATGGTATACCATGGTATTCCAAAATTTAACAGTCAATTCTTACATAATTATGTAAAATTGTCCCCTGAATCCAAAAGTTAAAAAAGTAGAACAGTTTTTGAGAAATAGAACCTTCATTAAAAGATATATTATTATTTACTAATAAGGTTAGAAATACATTAATTAAATAAAAGTAATGTTTTAAATTAACAAAAATTGTTAATAAAATAGTTAAAATGGAGGAAAATCACTATTCAAATGAAGTTTTTATGAACTTGTTTATTCTTCATTGACAATATGACAAACTTATTGATAGAAAATCAGAAACTTTTTGTATGTTGTACCTTTAATTTGGTTATCCATTAAGCATAAATATTTTCAACTTCTTTTGAGTAGATATTTTCCTTTATTTTAATAATAATAAATATCGGGAAAGTTTTGTAATTCATACCAAATTAATACACATAAGCAAAATTTTTTTAGTTTTTCTTCATATTATTAGGTTAATTGTAAAATATCTTTCTTAATATTAACTTTAGGGATAGGGAATATATCAATGAAAAGGTATTATAATTTCATATTTAATTATGTAAAAATATATAGGGCGTTCCATTGAGAATAAAAAAGTTATTGCTGTTTTAAGTTAGCTACATTCACATTGTTTTTTTACAAGTACCTTTTTAGAAATATTACAATAATTTACATGGAATCTTTAAAATAGTGCTTTAGGATTTCAATAAATCCAACCGAATATCAACAAACCTTATATTAAAAAAGTTATAAGCTTTTTTTGTTGAGGGTGAAACTGACCAAATTTTACAAGAAAAACTAATAACTCAAAAAGTATTAAGTTTAGGTATAGGACATGATATAGCCATTTTACAAGGAATGATGGTAAGATTTTGAAATTGTAAAAAAAAATGTGGTGATCCATTTAAAATAACAAAGTTGATATCGCTTCCGTTAAAACCGGAAAAGGAATTTTGTTCAAAATAATTTAGAAAAATAGTTTAAATGATATTATACTTGCTATAAAAATTTCAATTGGATATCTTTTGCCGTTCTCCATAAACGTCTAACCTACCATCGACCGTGATACACCCTGTATATTAGGGTGTGTCATTTTTGAGCAACTTTTTTTTTCAACTAAAAACAGGCTAAAAACTTTCAGGAAGGTGAAAAAAGAAGCCTCTAAAAATGTGAGCTCTTAATAATAACATTAAGTGGTGCCTGTTCCTAACTTTCCATTTTCCATTTAAATAACATGGAAAAAAAATATTTTTTCTTATTTTTGTATCTTGACATTTAAGCATTGTAAAAACGAACTGAAAAATTATTTTGGTAGGAAATTGAACGCTCTACAAAAAAGTACTAATTTATTTTTTCATAGAGTAAGCCGT